ATTTTAATTACATATTAATGTATTCTTTCTCATACGTTATCTTAGTCGATCCACAATCGGAACTAGAGATGTGTGAGACCAAAAAACTTGGTCTCGCACATACTTAACAATGCTATGTTACATGTATGCAATTGATTCAGCATAAAGGAATGCAAACAACACGATGACCCTGAATCAAGTACAGCTGTTTCCATAGACATTAGAACATAAAATGAAACTTTTTGCATCTCATATACAATATAAATATAGAATAAACATGCCTGGATCAAGTTAAAAGAAATTTTACAATGTATTTGATATTTTCTAACGAGGAAGCTATTCGAACTGATACCCGCTGTTTAAGCTCATATTGAACCTACAAGGTATCAGTAACACTAGAAAAGTCTAAAGGCGGATTCATTCCTAGGAGCCTTTGAAGCCAAGCTGAGATCGTTTTACTGAATTTTCAATCCAGCTGTACGCATACCGAAAGTTTAAAAAGCAGAATTCCGATATAAAATTTTGCCTATATATAAGTCTCATCATACATAGAATATCCTGAAAGTTTTAGTCGATAAAAATGTTGTTTTTATCGAGATGTAGAATTTTTCGGTATGTATTTAAAGCTGGCTCGAAAATTTAGTAAAACGACCTTAACTCTACCCGAAAGACCCATAGAAACGAACTCTTTTAGGCTTTTTTCTAGCCTTACGCAGATCTCATTGTTGGTACAATATGAGCTCAAACGCCAGGTGATTATCTCGTAAATAGATTGAAACATATTGTTTAGATGATGACAATTTCTTTTTCGAGCAAAAATAGGAACTTGAACGTGTTTGTCTAAAAGATTTATAATTAATAAAATATTTCTTACCTATAAATTTTCAAACCATTTAATATTAATTCATTATCATTTTTTTTCTCTGAAAATCTCAAACTAATTGTATACTTTTATTCTCTCTTCATTTTCTCATTATCATCTATAATCAAAAAAATCAAATATTATTTTTATGAGAATTAATAGCAGTTCTTACCCCGATTGAATACTTATCTTTGATTAAACCAAAATCTGATATACATTCTTCAAATTTCTATATTAAATATATTGACAATAAACTTTTTCGACAAAGAATTTATTATATAACATGAATAATAAGCGAAACAGATAAATGCCATCATACGCTTTTCTTTTTTTTAATTTGTCTTGTTATAGCGATGATGGTATTAAAGTAATATTTCATCATATATGTTGATAAATTTTAAAAAAAAGAAGAAAAAGAAGAAATATAGAGACAAGAGTCCATCATTGTATACACGCATACACACAAACATAAGTATACAAAGAAGACAATGATTGGTTGTTCTTTTATTATTATTATTATTATTAATAATTAAATAGTGTTCATCTCAATTGAATTATTATCAATGTTTGTTTTTGCCATATATTTTTCAAGATCATTATCAAGATTTTCTTTTGTCAAATTTATATTGTTTTTATTATTATTTTTATTTCGATTTTGATTTCGACCATTTCCACGTCCTCGCATAAAATTTCTATTTGCATTAGGACGTCCTCGATTTGGTCTAAAAAAACCAACATGAATTTCTTTTATGAATAAATTAAAACTTTTCTTTTTTTTTTCTTACCTATTTCCAAAACGTCGACCTCTATTATTTTTATTATTATTTCCACGTCTGTTAAAACCACTAAATCGACTAATTGTATTATTATTTAAATAACCGCGTGTTCGAGAACGAAATATACGTGCTAATCAAATAATTATTCATACATAAGAATGATCATATTTTGCTAAACATACTTCCAACTCGACCTTGTCCTCGAAGTCGTAAACCCATACCACTTTGTCCACCATATAAGAACGAATTACCACCACTACCGCCACGTCTTCGATTTCCAAGACTAATACGTTGAAAAACAGGTGCTGTTCGTGGATTTGTATATTGACGATTAATAATAGCAGCATTATTACCAAAACCAAGTCGATAATTAATGCTTCGCTAAAATTAAAAGTAATATTAGACTTAAAAAAATTGGTCAATTAAACAGCACTTTAATAGATACAGTGTAATCTCTAGGTATTTTCTAAAAGCAAAGTTTTTTTGTTCACAAGGACGAGACGCGTTTTGCAGGTTATTAATGAATAAAGTAATTAGCTATTATTCATTGTCGTTAGAACTTTTGAAAAGCATCTATCATAGAACTGTATTACGGTAGCCACTATGGGACATTTTACTATATGTTATAAATACAGTTATAAAAAAAAGAATTAGATTTCACAATGTAATATTTTGTTGTTGAAAAGAACTTCTTCAAACAATGTTAAAATGATTGTATCTATAATTTCGTTTCAATGGTAATGACCTTGACTATTCTTTTTTTTTTTCTTTAATCTATATTTGATAGTGATATATCGAACATGAAAACTATCAGCTGCGGCCAATGTTGACTTGCTTCTGTATCACAATCAAACATGAACTGAGGTAACAGAATGAATACTCAGTGTCATAAATCGTTCAACCAAATTTTTGCGGATAGACTAATTTTAACATCGTCTGAAGAAGTTGTTATTAAATAACGAAACGTTACATTGTAAAATTTAATTATTTTTAATTTATTATTGAAATTAAAAAGATCAGTATCAAAATAAAAGCTGACATCTAGTGTGATCACTTTTTATGAAAGTTTTTCAATTTTAGATGAAAAACAATTTCATATAACTAGTGACGTAATTCGAAAACAAAAATCTAGAGAGAAACTCTCAACAACTTATAAGTTCCCTCTAGCTACTTCTCATTAAATCGTTACGACATGAAGTGTAACTCTTAAGAACCTTGTTCAATAATGTTGATCAAACTACTTCATCATATCAATAGTTCTGATTATTTTTCTATAGGCGTTTTCATATAATAATCAAAACATAAAAGAAAATAAAAAGATACTCATATAATCAAAATAACTATTAAGTAATAGGTTATATCGAAATAAGAATAATGAATTCAAATATAACGATAAATGATCGTTATACTTGTCTCTACCAAAACAAAAAAAAAAAAAGAAATTATTTTCATGTTTACCTTTTTAAGACGATTCGCAGCGCTTAATGTTGCTGATGGTTTATTTCCAAATAATTCTTGTCGAAATTTAGGAATTGTTACATTAGTTTGTTGTTGAATACGCGGTATTGGTACAGGTTGTTTAGCAATTTCGCTAAATCTATTTGAAATCATTAAATGATATTATTCAATTTTGACAATGTATATATACCTTTGATCAAGTGTTAATTTTGTAGCTGATTTTAAAATAATTTTTCCAGTAATCATTATTTTGTTTTTGTTGAATGAAATAAATGAGTGAGAAAAAAAAACAAAAATGAATATAAACGAACGAACAGCAATTATTTTCCTTGTGATACTTTAGTGGGTATAAACAATAAGCAATTAATCGATTGGTTAATAGAAAAATAATGTTAGATATGATTTATAAAGCAATATATTTTAAATACAATTCTAAATTTTAAATATTTTTTTACATTCAAAAAACAATATGTTTTTTTTTGTTCTTTTTTAAGGAGTCCTTTATATAAATTTTTATTGGTTCAATATTTTAACCAATAAAAGATCAGAGTTAATTAGAGAGATTTTTTACGTCTTCATATGATGAACTATTTTAGATTTTCATAGAATATGAATTTTCAATATCTAGTCGATATTAAAACAGGTAGCGGTGATGTTATCAGTATGGGAAAGTTAAATTGTGATCGATTTGAACGACTTCAACGATTAATTTTCGAAATAATTAATTTTACAAAAGATTTTTATTTAATGAAAAATCATTTTAAAATGTATAAATACAAATTTGATTTAATTTTACATAATAAAAGAAGATTCTTATTTGGCTCATATATAATTAAATGAATATCAATAGAATTTGTAAGTTTATTGAGAAATCTAAACTTAGAAAAATTAATCTCATATAGATTTAATGAAATATAACCGGAAGTTTACATAATACATCAAGGATTTTTAGTATATCCGGAAGATTTATCATTGATAAAATTGAAGTCTGTATCTTGAACAATTCTTTATATCAAGGGAATAATTTTCTGTAATCATGTCAATATAATTGTAAGTCATGTAAAAATAGGATATAATTTCTTGCCTAATAGAGACGAACTATGATTGTTGTTTTAGCTATTCCATAAGATTACATTACTTTAAATCATTATATGAAGTTTTCTTTCTATCAAAACATTTATCTTAAGTTGATAATAGATTAAATTCAATTGATTGACACGTAAGATTTAATAAACTAAATTGACTTATATTTGAATAATGTCGAAATTTATTTAATAGTAATGCAATATTGGAATAATTTGGATATTCGAGGTCGACAAGTTCAGATCTGAGGAACTGTTGAAAATGTTCTTTGATCTATTCGACAGTATTTTCTCTTCGGAACTATGAACACCTATCTTTGGGAGTACAGATATATAGTATGTTGTACATTAACCTCAAACTCCGAAAGGTCTCCATGCTGAATAAAACACTACTGTCCGAACGGTTTAGTTCTATTTTTGAGAAAGACACTTTAGTGTATAAAAAAATCTCTTTTTTCCATTACTGAAATGTCGTTCAAAATTTTCGGATGGAACAGTTCAAACAATTCTTTCACTCATTTAGTTTGAACTGATTGACTCCTATTGAATATTTTGCTGTTTAAAAGAGCAAAGTCTGAAAAAAACATAATCATAAAATAGAAAATTGCTTTTTGAACAAAATAAAAACTGTACAGCTAGATAAATGTCGAGGTGTGTGTTTCGATATTATGATTTTTACATGAAATTCTTGCATTCATTAGATTGTATGATTAAATTTTTTATTCAAAGGCACGATGGGTTATACTTCATTATTAATGGACACTAGTTGGAATTCAATCAATAAAGTCTTATATGAAAGGTCTAAGTTATAAAAGTAAATTGATTTTATTTGATCTTGCAATTAATTTGAATGTAAAATTCGATTAATTAAAATAATATTCTATGGAAATCATTAAGTTCCTATTAGATATGAAACAACATTCATTAAAATAAATTATTCCGATATATGATATAATATTATTCGACAATATTGGCTCCTTTTTTTTAGAGTAAATTTATTTTAATTTATAAAAATTCATAGAATGAATTTATTTGTTTTTCTATATTATTAGATTTCAAGTCGAGAAGTAGATCACTCAAAACAAATATTTTACATGTATAAGAATCTTCAAATAAAACAGGTTTGAATAGTTTTTAAAACAAATAATTCCTATTCGTCCTTTCTTCGTTGTTCAAATATGTTTTTTTTTTCTTTGCCATTTGTTCGTAATCTTGAATCAAACAAATACTCAAGTATTCATACATAATTAAACACTCGATTATATGCTCTAATACCATTTCCATCACTTGTTTCTAATACAATGACTACAACTATAAATCTCTATGTAGAAAGTATCTTTCCTTGAACTTATTATTTTTTGTTATGTACGAAAAATAAACGAAATATATTTCCTTCGAGCTAATATACATATTTATATATATGAGTGTGTATGTAAATATTTCTCTTATTCAATCGATACATGATACGCCGTCACTTTGACTCGATCTCTTTCTTTCGATTTTGTTTTATATATGTGATGCTATTTGTTCAATTGGATGTGTTCAACAACTCATACTTTTCTTTTATACATACATATGTCACGTAATAGAAATTTTTCGTTTAGACAAGTTATATTTGTACATTTTACACTTTAACGCTCCAAGGCGAAGTGTTCATACATACAATTGAACGAATAACATATATATCGATAGTAGGAGAAGTCAATGTAGTTATTTTCATTAACGACCATGTCCAGTGACTAATTGAAGATTTGTTCATATAGTCTATAGATGTTAGGTCAACTTATTCCCTATTTTTTTTTCTTCTGAATAAATATTGACCTCTGGTCTTGACAGACATCAAGATAATGGTTAAAAACAAAATGAGTGAATAAATGTAAAAGATTATTTTTTTGTTCCATGTCGTGTATGCGTGCTCATACTTAATTCTGTTCTTTTTTTTTTCCTCTTCTGCTGTTTCTTTTCTCTTATGACACAAAATACGAGAAAGTTGTCAGCGAAATGAGACAGAGGGTACACATAAAGCGACATTGAAATCAACTGTTGTTCTCTGAAAAAAAAAGAACGAGTAGGCGAGGGGAGCAAAGAAAAAGAAAAAAGATGGAATCACACAAAAAAATAGAACGGAGTATTAATCGGTCTTTTTTGTCGACCCTTTTATATGAAGATAAGAAACAATAGTAGAAGTGATGTATTTTGTGAGCAAATGGATAGAGAAGACTTGGTTATGTAAAGAGAAAGAAAAAAAAAAAATAGAAATGTTTATTTTTGATAAAGTTTGAGTTGTCTTTCTTAGGCTATTCAATAGGCGTATTATTCAAAATACATCAACACACTTTCATTACTCAAGCCCTTTTTCAACTTACAGTCGTCAAACAACATTTTTCTTTCCTTTTTCTTTTCTAATAGTTTTTTTTCCTTTTATACATTACATATAACCCTCCTTTTATTGTTATACCTTAGTGGTGGGAAATCGGTGTTCTATTATGTCTATTCAATTATGAAATCTAGTCGATGAATATGATGAGATAGATTTTATTAATGATTATGATACATAAAACGATGACAACAATCAATAATTCTCAATAATGTTATATATCGAATGTCGTAAATAGTGTTCATCTTCGACTTCATCTCCAATGTATTCCTCAATTGTTAACAAATCAATAGAACCTTGTCCTATATCATCATCATCATCTCCTATTACAACATCATTAATCTCAAATAATGATAGTATACCTATCAGTAATAATTCTACATCATCATCATTACAAACATATGGAAAAAAAGAAAATACATTAACAAATATTTCATATTCATCATACAATTGTTCAAATGATTATTATACAAAAAAACGTATTGAAGAATTACATGAACGTATGGATGATATACAAATATCAAGTTTTTTAAAATTTATTAATTATCATTTATCATTAAAAAAAAGATAATGAAAAGAAAATTTTTATAAAAGATTTATCAAAAGATTTATGTAATGGACATGTTTTAATTGATTTAATTGAATTATTTTCATCAACAAAATTAAAACGTGAACATGGTCATACACGTTTTCATTCATTAGCAAATGTTCAATATGTTTTAGATTATTTAAAAATACGTATGCAACATATTGATATAACACCATATGATATTGTATCAGGAAATCGTAAACAAATCTTAGCATTATTATGGATTATAATGAGAATATTTGATTTGCCAGCATTTCGTATAGCAAATAAAAATTGTTTTGTAGAAAAAACACTTTTAGGTTTTGGACAAGATCGTAGTACTATTATAAATTGGTTAAATAATATTTTAAATCAAAGTTTAAATACAAAAGAAATTTATATTAAAGATTTTTATATCCATACGTGGGATGATAGTTATTATTTATCATTAATTATTAAATATTTAATACCATTAAGTATAAATTATTTAACAAATAAATGTTTTAATTATTTAAAAGAATTAGATAAATTAAATTCTTATGATCGACAACGTTTTCTATTATGTTTAAATATTTCAAATTATTGTTTTAATACAATAACAATTATTGATTTGACAGATAAAAGTGAAAAATGTTTATTTAAATATTTTGCTGAATTAAAACAAAATATTTTAAATATTCTCAAAGCAAATCATATCGGAAAATTAATTCACAATAATCCTTATGCTAAACAAGTATTTGATACAGTTATTCAAACAGAAACAGGTAAATACCAGATAAATGTTGAGATGATGTAATGGATTAAATCAGTATATATATATATACATTTTACTTTTTATTTATAGAACATTCTTCACATGTAATTAATAATAATGAAGAATATTTAAGTTGTATTGAAGATGATCATCAACAAGTATCAACAGAAAAACATAGAAGATTGCCTATGGATTCTATAGATGATATAACACCGTCATTATCATCATCAAATAATATTGATGAATCATCAGATTTACGAACAGTAGAAAGATCAAGATCGTTTTATGATGAACAACAAGAAGCAAAATTAAAGCGAATAAATTCTTCGGAGAAAATCGAGGATTTAGAAAGGTATTAATAAAAAGAAGATATTGTCATCATTGAACAAAACTATGTCCTTGACCTATAACGAAATGAATGTTACAGTTTTAATTAAAGAGATAACATAGAAATGAAATTTATTCTTCAACTATTGACATTTTCATCTATAATAAGACTTAGTCAAATAAGATGATCGTTGAGGATTTTCATTATTGAGCAGAGAAATTCGTTAAATATATATTTTTTTCAATAATTAATATGTAACTTTGACAAACAATTAATTAAAGTAGAACATATTGAAAAAAACAACATGTTATCAAACCCTTTGTCTTTTCTTCATTTCAATGATGAAAATCATAGGTCATTATCTTGTTTTTATCGAAAAATAATATAGGACACTTTTGTAATTGATTTAACTATATCTCTAAAAAAAATTGTTCTTTATGATTAAATTTATTTATTTATAGTAATTTCCATATGATAAATACTCATAATGAAATGCCAAAAGAAGAACAGACTGAAATGATAACTGATCAATCAGAACAGCTTAATGGCTTAGTTGAAAATTTACAACACAGTGTATCATCAATTGAACAAAGTGAACAAGATACAAATAGCTATATAGATGCTGAGGAATCAATAACTCCAATTGAAGATTCTGAACAATTTCTATCAACAATTGAACAACCTACAATTATTAATAATGAAACAAAAGAAATGACATTAACACAAATTGAAAATCAACTAAATGAAAAATTAGAACAATCTACAGATGATTATGAAGAGTCACAACAAATTACAACGTCACAAAAAGAAATTGTACAACCAATTGAAAATAAAAATTCTATTACTATGGATGAAATATTAGAACAACCAATTTATATAATTGAAGAATTATCACATCCTATAGTATTAATTGAAAAATCAAAGCAAATTACAACAGAAGAACCAAAAACTCCATCAATAACTTCAGTCGAAGAAAATAAACAATCTACAGATGATTATGAACCATCAGAGCAGTTTAAAATGTCCCAGGATGAGATTGAACAATCTGTTGAAAATAAAAATTCTATTACTACGGATGAAATATTAAAACAACCAATTCTTATAATTGAAGAATTATCACACCCTGCAGTATTAATTGAAAAATTAGAGGAAATTACAATTGACAAACCACAACAACAATCTATAACTTCAAATGAAGAAGATACAACACAAATGACAAATGAATATGAAAAAATGGAGCATAATAAACTTGACGAACCTACAAACCAATCAATAATACCAACAGAGGAGAATAAACAATCTACAGATGATCATGAACAGTCACAACAGTTTACAACGTCCCAGGAAGAAATTGAACAATCTGTTGAAAACAAAAATCCTATTACTACAGATGAAACATTAGAACAACCTACGTTTATAATTACAGAAGTATCACAACCTGTAGTATTGAATGAAAATTTAGAACAAATTACAATTGAAGAACCACAACAACAATCTATGAGTTCAAATGAAGAAGATAAACAAATGACAAATAAATATGAAAGATTAGAACAAACTTTAGCATTAATTAAAGAAATTGAACAATCAGTTAAAAATAAATCGTCTATTACGGAAGCTGATCAATCAATAAGCACAAACGAAGAAGAAGAAGACGAACTATATTTAATATTAAATGAAAACATTAAACAATCTAATGTTGAAATCGAGCCATTAGAGCAATCCACAATTGCAATTGAAGATAAAACCCACGAACAATTGAATACATCAACTGAAGCAAATAATATATCGACAATTGAATATGAAAAATTGGAACAACCAATTTCAAATGAATCTTCTAGTATTACAAATCAAAGATTAGAACAACTCACAACTGAACAACCATTACAATCAATTGTATCAAATGACAATGAAGACATAAAACAATTTACTGTTGAACCTGAAAAATCAAATCAATCACCAGTTCAAATTGAACAAAACGAAGAATCCATTGAAAATCAAATAAATATCGAATCAACACCAGATTTATCATCAAACAAAGATTTTCAACAAACAACACCAACAAAACTTGATAATTATCACATTCCAGTCGATGAAAATTCAGAACAACATACAACTAAACAATCATCACAAGATGAAATATCAGATGAAAAAACATGTATTAAAAATAATTCATCGATCATAACAAATAAGAAATTGGAAAAACCTACAGTTATCGAATTACCACAACCTATTACATTAAATGAAGATATTAGCAAATCCACAATTGAAAATCAAGAGTTCATTGCCGATACCGAAAATTTAACACAAACAATAGTACCATCTCAAGAAAATCCGCATTGTCCTACTTCGGATGAACAATTAACACAACCTAAAATTTTAGTTAATCAACCAGAACAACGTACAGTTCCAGCTGAACAACCACTGTTAACAACAGCAACAATAGTTAAAGGCCCAAGATATTCTGATGTTGTTAATAGACAATTACCAAAGGCAACAAATGAATCAGCAAAACCTACAGATTCATTTAAAAAACAAGACTATTCAATAGAATCAAAGAAAAAAATCATTTCACCTATAGTAACGATTGAAACACCTAAACAATGTATCAATACAGCTGATGAAACCGAACAAGTTCCTTTGATAAGTACAATTAAAGAACCGGAACAATCTGAAGTATTACTTGAAAAACAAGAACCATCTACCACTATCATTGAAGATGCACATGATACATCAATAATATCAAATGGAGAAAATCAAATATCATCAACAAAAAGTAATAAATCGAGACGATCTAATGCTAAAAGAAGAAAATCAAAAAAGTCATCAGTTACAATTGAAAATTCCCCACAAAATATCATTAATAATAATGACGATGATGATGATAATGAAGAAAAAATTGAAACATCATTACCTTCTCAAAATCTAAAAAGTATTATTCCAGAACAACAAACAAGTAACATTGAATCAGAAATTGAAAAATCGTTAACAACACTTAATAGATCATCTCATGATAATACATCCACAAATCAGTAAATATTTAATGATTATTAAAAAAAAATCAAACAAATAATTTCACCTTCTTGTTTTTTTTTATAGTTCAAATCCTCAAAATTCAAGTGCCTTACGATCTCGTAAAAACAAAAAGAAAACAACAACAACAGCATCAATCGAAAAATCTTCATCTCCTATTAATTCAACGACAACGGATAATCGAAATGTATTTCTTATTACAAAAGAATGTCTACATGATCGAAAAATACTTCTATTCAGTTGTGTTTTTATTCTTGTTTGTTTTTGTTTTTCAATTATTATTATTGCTCGTTCTCATCAGTGATATTTATTTCATATTGTTAATTGAACACAATCAACAATGCGTTATCTTTTCCTTATATTTCTTTTCTTTCTTTTTTTCGTTTCAAAAAAACAAAAACTGAATACTCTCTATATTGTTAAAACATTTTATTCCTATCTTTTTTTGGCAAGTTTGTGTGTGAACAGTTGTTTTTCTTTTTGTGACATATAGATATTTTCAATTCAAATAAGGATTAATGACAGAAAGAAAAAAAAAAAAGGGCCGAAAAATTTTAAATAAATGATTAATTAAATTTTCCATGAATATCTTAATCAATCAAATATTCAACAAATATTTATAATTAACAAGATAAAAAAATTAAAAATAAAGTTAGTAAATTAGAACATCTTTATTTTTATAGATGTTGATTAAAGCTTTTTTATTTAATTATTCATTTCAACGTATAACAACCTATCGATGGTTATCAAAAACTCATCAACCATCACTTTTTGAACCAAAATGGGCATCAATATTTGCTCAAGCAACAACTAATTCATATTTACCATCATCATCAACATCAGTTAATAATAATAAAAAACCATTTGTCATGCTTTTTCCACCACCAAATGTAACTGGAACTGTTCATTTGGGTCATGCATTAACTACATCTGTTCATGATTGTCTTTTAAGATGGCATACAATGCAACAAAAATCATATGCTCGTTGTGTACCAGGTTATGATCATGCTGGCATTGCTACACAGGTAGATTTGAGATATTTTTCGAATAGTGATGTTTTGTTGGTTAATTAATACAACAAAAAAAAATGAAGCATGTAAGACGTCTTGAATAGATTTTCGATGGAATATAGAAAGAAAACGTTCATATAGTCAGTCTGTAAGATTATAGAGCAAAAATTAACAAGGATATTAAGTATATAATAGTAAAAGAAACAATGTAAATATTAATTAAGACTAGAACTAATCGAAAACTTTTCGAACTTTATATTTGAATTAACATAAGGATGATTTATTTTTCTTGCATTTAACAACAGTAAAGTCTTTTCAACTTTGGCAGATTATTGTATATACATAGTAATAAATAATTACAAAGTTTGAGGTTGATAACTTTTACTAGGGATGAGGAATTATAACAATACTATCATCTACTATTTTAGTAATTTTCCAATAACTTAAATTAACAAAATTCGATATGAAACTGACAGAAAAAAAAATCTTCTTCTATGAAATTTCGACAATTTGTTCCACATCCGCCAGAATTTCTACAATAAATATTATTGTTGAAATTTTCAATTTACCTATGAACTACAGTGGAATGAAGTGAGAATATTGGTGAAACTCTATAATTTCGATAATTTATATAATTTCCCGCTGGAATTTTGACAAATTTTTTTATTGTCAAAAATCCTATGGGAAAATTGACAAATTGTCATAAATCAAATGGAAAAGTTCCGGTTTATCATTGTGATGACAGTGACAGATTGAAAAAGTTCAATTCTACTAAATATTATAACAGGAAAAGAAAATCAACTAAACAGTTAGATGATTTACGACATGTAATTATTTAAGATGAATAAGATCATGAACAAAAGAATACGGTTGACTTTCTATGCTATTAAATACGTTTTTATCAATCAAATTGAGTTAAACATTGTGCTACTAAACTAGCCGATATTTGTCTTATAAAAAATATTTGAAATACATTAAAAGAGAAATTATAAGGACGTGATGACAATAATATTAAAAAAGTGAAAAACAATATTAACAGGAAATGTAGAGAAAAAAATTTAGTGTTTCTCTATATCAACCAATTGTTAGTTCACCATATATACAACAAGATTTTGAGGGAATCTGAACACTTTGATCGAAAGTAAAAATGTTGAAGGATGAAGTGTAAATAGTAGAGCAACATCCACACCTTCAACCTTCTGGTACATCGAAGCAGAAAAACAAACGATCAACAACATTAAAAAAAAATCTATAATTATTCAATATAGAAGCATTACTTTACATTGACAAACTAAGATGTAAAAGCTTTTTTGTTTTGCTTGTCTTTAATGGTTTCTGTTTCAATAGTAAACATTCGATTCAAATTATCTACTTGATTTTTTTTTCAATTTTTTCAACAAGAAAATATTTTTGAAAGTTTCTACTTTAATTTTCGGCCAAAGTAGGAAGAACCGAATTTTGTATCTAAATAAATTCTATTAACATTGAAGTGATTTGCAAAAAGAAAAAAAAAATAATCAAAGCATGAAATTACAAATTTCGATTAATTTTATTTTATTATGTTAAGGTTATAGTTGAAAAACATATAGCACCTCAAACACGTGAACAATTAGGTAGAGAAAAATTTCTTGAAGAATGTTATCAATGGTCTTCAAATTATCGTCAAACAATTGAAACTCAATTAAAACGTTTATGTCCATTATTTGATTGGTCAAATGCTTATTTTACAATGGATAAGAATCTTGTTGAATATGTTCGTGATTCATTTTTACATTTATATAATAATGGTCTTATTTATCGTGATCGACGTATTGTTAATTGGTGTTGTCAACTTCGGTCAGTTGTTAGTGATATTGAAGTTGATTCAAAAGAAATAAATGGACGAGAAAAATTTTCTATTCCAGGATATAAAAAAGATATTGAATTAGGTATACTTTACAATATTGCATATAAAATTATTGATGAACAACAAGATAAAGAAATTATTGTTAGTACAACACGACCAGAAACAATTTTAGCTGATACAGGTATTGCTGTTCATCCAAATGATTCTCGTTATATATCATTAAAAAATAAATTTGTTCAAAATCCATTTAATCCTCAAGATTATTTACCAATTATATTTGATGAAAATGTTGATCAAAATTTTGGTACTGGTGCAGTTAAATTAACACCAGGTCATGATACATTTGATTATATATTAGCAATGAAACATAAACTTGAAATTCGAACTATGTTAAATGATCAAGGTTATGTACAACTTGATTTAAATCATCCATATTATCATGAATTAAATAATTTACATCGTTATGATGCACGTGAAAAAGTACTTCAATTACTTGAAAATAAAGGATTAAGAAGAGGAGAAAAGGAACAAGAAAAAATGGTTGTACCTCTATGTAGTCGAACAGGTGATATTATTGAACCAATGGTTAAAGAACAATGGTTTCTTGATACAACTGAAATGTGTAAGTTAATTTGTATAAGATTTGTTTCGATAGATATATACTAAGCTTGGTTTTTTTTTAACTCTTTACTTTTCATAGAGATTTCAGAAGAGCCATTGATGTAATAACTATTAGTATAGAGTATTAATGTTTTGAATGTATCAATAGTATGGATAGATTGACTAGGCACATTTTCATTTGTAACGGCAGTTTGATCAATTCAGTGATCATTGAGTAAAGAACGACTTGACAAAAAGTCTGCTGCGAGTCTTCCATAAATTTGATGTGATTCGACGAAAAAACATCGTAAAAATCTCGAGCATGTCTCATTTTGTAAACAATTATTTGCTGTATCATTACGCATGGTAGGAGAAAACTTTAATACTCTAGTTGTGAACACTGAAAAACTAGAGATTTGGTTTTTTAAAAATTTCCTAGTGGCCATTCTTTATCATATCATCTCTTGTCTATCTAACTTTTGTAAAACTTTCGAATGATATTCATATCAGTAGTAGCAATAATCGTCGTTATGTATTACTCAATACGCTTTCATCATGTATTTTCTCTATTGGTAGGAATACATTTTATATAAAAAAATTCAACTTTTTTTTTCCAGACTTATCAATTTTTGTAACTAATCTTTTCCAGAGACGGCACAATCAAAAAAAATTTTTTTTTTTGTGAATTGATATTTTCAATTTCATGTTTCATTTATTTTCTGTACTCTTTCTACAAATAGTCATTCAAGTGACTAAACAGGAAAGATAAAGAATTAAACTTAAAACTTTATTGTTAAATTATGATCATGAAATTATACTCATGAGTAAATTTTTCAGACTGTAAAAGTCGTATTACTTAATGATATATTTATTCAACATAATAGAAAAAAATAATTATAATAATACGCTGGTACTCATGTTGAAATTTCTTAAGTATGAATCTTAAAGATCTTTATCAAAAAAAATAATTCATTAGTTTTATAATCTATATTGAACTTTAACAGATCATTTCAACAGATAAAGAAATCAAATATATTGTTATTAGATAAAACCCAATTTATGATTACTTAATATTTTTATTCATACATAAATTGTCATAATGACTTTCGATAAGAATATCTCTACTAGAAATCAGAGATCCACGAAACGATCTCGCGCTCTTCACCATTCCATGTTTTAGGCCGTCCTGAAAGAATACTGAAGAAACAAATGAGTCCTGGCAAAACATGAAACAGGCAAGTGATGTGCCCACATGTGAGCAAATGGTGCAAGACAACGCAAGTTTGTCTCGTGGATCTCTACTAGGAAAGATATTTATTTTTTGAATAGTTTATTAATTGTCAATCGATTGCTTATTCGATTCATCAATTTTCGGTAGTATAAACAATTCAATCTATGCAAAAAAAAATCCTGTTTATTAATGAATAATCTCTTATGAATATTATTATAGGTCGTCAAGCTTCATCCATTGTTGATAATAATAATCTGAAATTAACACCATCATCTACTTGTAAAGTATGGAAATATTGGCTTGATAGTCCTCGACCATGGTGTTTATCAAGACAACTTTGGTGGGGACATTCAATACCTATGTATCGATGTTCAATAAATAATAAATCATCTGAATATAAATGGATTGGTGCAAAATCACTTGAAGAAGCAAAAATAAAAGCTAAAGAATTATTTCCAAATATTCCATTAAATTCAATTCATATTGAACAAGATCAAGACGTACTTGATACATGGTTTTCATCAGGTTTATTACCAATGTCAATATTTAATAAAAATAATTCACAAGAATTTCCAACAACATTACTTGAAACTGGTTATGATATAATGTTCTTTTGGGTTGCTCGTATGGTTATGCTTGTAAATACTAGTTATTTAGTTTTTTTTTTTGTAAATATGATTATTCAATTGAAAAATCTTTGTTCTTTTTTTTTAAGAGTCTTAAACTAACAAATCAATTACCATTTCATGAAGTACTTTTTCATGGATTAATTTGTGATTCAAATGGAAAAAAAATGTCAAAATCATTAGGTTAACTTAAGTGTTTGTTTTTTCTCGAAAAAAAAAATGAATTTTTCTTTAAGGTAATATAATTGATCCAATGGATGTTATTAATGGTATAAGTCTTCAATCATTACAAAAACGTCTTGAACAATCACATTTATCACGTAATGAAATTGAACGAGCTAAACGTGCACAAGCTATTCAATATCCATCAGGTATTGAACCAATTGGATCTGATGGTCTTCGTCTTTGTCTTTTATCTCATGATATATTTCATCAATCAATACGTTTTGATCCAACACAATTTGATTATGTTGCACGTTATTGTAATAAATTTTGGAATGCTTATAAATATGTAAAAGAATTTGCCTTAGCTAATATGAATTTTCATCATGAAAATATATCAAATATAAATTATGAACAAATAGAAAAATTAGTAAAAGATCGTCTTGTTGATCGTTGGATATTAAATGAATTAAATAAAACAATAGGAAAAGTAAATGAATGTTTAAATAATTATACATTTCATTTAGCTATTGTTCGTCTACGTGATTCATTTTTAAACGATTTTTGTGATTTTTATATTGAATTTAGTAAAATTCCTATTAAACAACAATCAATAGATAATATAAAATCAAATGTTCAGATATTACTTTATTATTTACTTAAACAATATCTTATTCTTTATCATCCATTTTTACCAGCTATGACAGAAGAATTATGGGAAGATTTAACAAATGGCAAACAAGGTTATCTTATTCATCAATTATATCCAACCATGAAAAATATTGAAAAGTAAAATTCTTGATTTCATTTTTAAGAGTTTTATATCAGAGACATAACTCAGCACCGGAGACAAAAGAGGAAGCGCAAAGTGATTGAGTTTCAGAGAAAGGAATGCCGTGTAGACAATGATCAAAAGCAGGAAAGCGGTGCCCCCACATAAATTATTCCCCTGTTTTATATTATTTGAAAATGTCTCCTTGTATAATTTCAAAAATTCTAATATTGAAATTTTTTTTTTTATTCTTAGTATTAATCCTATTGATTCTCAAGTAGTACAAATAATTCGTTTAATTTTAAAAAATGCAACATATTTCAAACAAATGCTTCGTTTATCACGTGATTCTGATATTATTATTCATTTTTATAATCAAGATAAAGAAGATTTATCAATACATGTAGAAACTTATTTAACAGAAATTCGTACAATAACTCGATTAAATAATATTCATGTTTGTCGTTCATCATCGTCATTGAATAATTCTTTTAATTTATCAAAATTTTCATTTCGTGATTATATAACTGATAATATAGAACTTATATTTAATTTAAATGATAATAAACAATCAAGAGAACTTGTTGAAAAACATGAAGAACGATTAAGTAAACAAGTTGATAAATTACATGATGATATAGGTGTTAATGAGATAACGATGAAATTTTATCAAGAAAATAATGATCTTGAAACTCTTGAACGTGAACAACGTCGACGTGAAAGTTTATTTGACGATCTTAAATTAACTCAACAAAGACATGAAAGATTTGTTGAATTAGCTCAAAAACGAACTATTATTGAAAAAAAGAATAAAAATCATAGCTGATTTTCAAATTTTTGTTTTTTTTTTTATTTCTAATAGATACTTAAACTTATTTTCATTTTGTATATCGATCAATGAAGAAATAAGTTGTTTGTGTGTGCTTGGGACTGTTATCTTTTGTTTTTATATTCATATCAAATCGAAATGATGGGTATAAAAAAGTAGTTTAATAATCATTAATAGTTGAATAAACAATTTTAGAGATTGTTCTTCGCCAAACTGATATACTTTTTTTTGTCTCATATACTAAGAAATATTCGATTCAGAATAGTATGTAATAGTTTTAGACTTTTATCTGTTTATTTATATTATATTAAATCTGAGCAACTGTAAAATATTTGTAAGATTTGATAAGAAGATAACTTCAATAAGCTAACATATTTCATCGTCATTAGCGGTCTTCTCAAGGTTTAATTAAGTTAGAGAACAAATCGTAAAACTGAAATTTGCTTCATGATTTTACTAATAAATCATGAGGAATTTATTTTGACTAAATCCTATAACCGTAATCAATACTAAAAAACAGAGTATGAATATTAATAAACTAATCGATCCCTCACATTATAGAAGATTCTCGCAGGGAATACAATATGAAGTTCAGGTAACGTAATAAGGAAGAAATCAAACTCTCCTAGATGTTTGCTGTGAATATTTTCGTTCTTGTTATGTATTATTAACAGATAAATTAGATTAAATTGTTGATCTTTATCAAGTCAATTTTGATACAATAATAAAGAATGACATACATCAATATATGATTCCGTGACATAAAACATAAATCCAATATTATAGATAAAAGATCAAAATAGTTATAAGAAAACTGTTTTCTCTCCAATCATTTGAAATTGACAATCAAGAGAAATAATATTGATGAGAAATTTCAACTCAAAATCGGAGTTAAATTCCAAAATTGTCATTTGTTTCCTCCAAAAGCATTGAAATAACATTTTGTGAATAACAACATGAACTTCAATCGACTTGACTCAGAATTAAAGTCGAAGCGGAGTTGACATTAGTTTAAATCAAAGTTTGAATAGAATTGATTAGTTGATAGATGGAGTCGGAGTGATCAACAATTTTAATTGCCCATCCCTGACTTAAAAAAAATCGATTAATCCATATTGAAATGTTTGTTATTCGGTGCTTCCAAAGTCTTAATTAAATGTTTTAAATCATCCGTTAATTTTAATCCATCTAATTTTCTTTTTAAAAATTCAAAATCAATTATTTCTTGTAATGGTCGTTCAAATAAAATATTTTCATTTTTATTTAATTTATGAAGAAAATATCGTTCAGCATAACAACAAATAATAATAATTTCTTTTGATTGAAATTTATTTAATGAATTAATATTAAGAAAATGAAAAAGTTCATTAATATCTTGATGTGTTTTATATTGATTAAAATATTCGAAAACAATATCTTTTGCATCATCAATATCAATCGTAGTATCAGGTTGAATTTTACGTATTAATTTCATAACAATTTGTTGTCGATTATTTAATGGTTTTGTATATTTAACTAGAAAAGATAATGATGAAAGATTTTCTAATTCATCATATTTTGATGGAAGTGTACATTGAATTGATAATCCATTAAGAGTTCTTGGTGCCTTAGATTTTTCTAATTTTTTTTCTTCTAAACGAGTTTCTTCATTAAAACGATTAATTAATTCAGATGTTTGTTGTGTTTGTTGAATTAATGGATTTATATATTCCATTTGAAGAAATGTTCCTTTTTCTTTAAAATTTATATAGTCTTTATGCATATCATTAATGAGACCAGTGTAATAACCACCTGAAAAATAAAAAATAAAAAAACTTTTAAGAAATTTTATTTCATATGTTATACTTGGTACTGCTCTAACTTGTTTATTTTTAATAAGTTTAAGTTGTTTTCTAAGCATTTGTTTTTGTTTATTTTTTTTCAATGAAATTAATGATTTAGAATTTGTAATTTTTGTTGTTTGTAGATTTTCATTATTTAATGATATGTTTTTGTTTTCTTTAATTTTATTTTGAACATCCATAGATGGTAATAGATGAAAAATATTGTTTAATGTGTTGGAAGTTTTATCAATATGTTACGTGCTGTTTTCTTTTATACAAAGGGCATCAAATAAATTGGAAAAAAAAACATGGTTTCCTTAGTAATTTCGATATGATCAATATGATTTTCTTTATTAGCTGATGTTACATGATTTAATGATGAGGATTAGATTTCTTTCTAATCTTCTAATATAATTAATAAAATTCTATTTTGAACGATTAATAGTCATCAAAGATAGTATAATTCTCTTTTAAAATCTGTAGATATTTGCCATTGAAGTAATTCGATTACATCTCCAACACTTTTATAAAAGCATTCTCGTTTAACAAGCTTTAGCTCCTGATGCCCTTCACACTATGATTCATACCCAATACAAAGATAGGAATATCATAAGTCACTGTAATTCAGATGATATTAACGAATCAGAGAGAGGAATTATTCGATAATTATATATTGATGATGTGAAAGAACACAAATCACCAACTACATTTCTGCCAAATACTATATTGCATTATACGCTATTTTAGTAAATGGTATGATTTCTTACAAGGTCATGATATATATCCATGTGCTCTTTTTGTGTATCGATTTGCCTTGTGTCATATTTGTCTTTCGATCAACTGTAGAAAGAATAAAAAAAAAATACCAAAGACAAATATATGGTATGCGACTAAAATGCTATTGAATCATTACGCTTTACTCATATGTATGACAGGTGCAAGGTGGTTCGATTTCGTTCATTTGATTGTTTTAATTGACAGTATATGGATCAATGAAGTATGAAAGACGAAACTACTATGGCCTTATTTTCTTGTTGTAGAATATGATGTACTCTTTGTTTTATTCTATAGTAAATTTTTTATTTATGAAAAAGATTTTTATTTTATTTTACTTTATTTTTTTGATTAATATTCTTTGTTTTAATGTATGCAATATTGGAGGTCATTTTTTTGTCTAACCAAGCGTAAAATCAATCGAGCATTGATGTTTTATATAATTATTTGCTAATGATGTGTGAGTCTACAAAGAAAATGTCGATAAATGATAATTTAAAAAATCATGAATCTATTCATTCTGTAAAAGTTTTAATTAAACATCGACGAACAGGCGAATTTATTGCTCGTAAATCTTTATTAACGGATTTATTTCAAATTTCACATATTAATTGTGTACGAAATGCGTTTATTGCTGGTTTTATTTTAATGATATCACGTCAGACAATTACTGATCTTATTCACTATGGAAGGTAAAAACAAATGTTTACCTTCACAAAATATAATCATTTGTTTTTGTTTTTATTTTTTTAGATTTAATTGGACATTTGAACTTCTCTTTCAGACTGTTGGTAAATTACATATTGTTGCTATTGTTTGGTCTCTTATGACATTATCTACAGCTTTCACTGTTTTTTATGGCACATACATGTGGATAAATAATCGCAAATTTGTTGGAGTTTATCTTAGTAAAAGAAATTTTTATATTGAATATTCTGAAAATAAAATTAATTAATTTTTATCATTTAGAATTTTATGATATAATTTGGTTGCTAATTTATGTTTGTTATTTAACGGGTTTAATGGTAATACCAAGTTGGCAAATTATTAAATATCAACTACCAATTGTTTCTTCAGCAATTATTCTTGCTGAACAAGTATGTTACTTCGAAAATTTAAAGTCTAGACTATTTGGTATAAAATGTTCGACAAAAGGATCAATAAGAAAAATTTTTAGTTTTCAAATACGATCGCATATTTTCATAAAGAGTTTGCTTGTATGCTAGATTATATAACTAAAGAAGAAATATTTAGTAGATAAGAATTATCAATGACTATTTGAAGAACTCTGATGATGGCTATAAATATTATAAAGCTTAATAGTAGCACAAAATTTTCCAATAGACAAAAAGACTTCTTTCACTTGCAATAATAGAAAAAAGGTGGAGATCTCTTTTTAATTTGTATATTCGAAAAACAATTTTCTTTTAAACACGATTATATTAATTAAGATACTATCCAATAAAAATATAATATACTTGATTGTTCCTTGTCAGTAATAAAATTAGTGGAGTGATACAGCGGCGATCGCTTCGAGAACCTTTTTTTTTTATCATGATTGTCGATTGCTTTCGCTGATTTCTTGGATACGCCACTGTTCCTTGTAGAAATTAACAACCAAAGATTTAGTACAAGTTAGTAACAATATGAGATCTGTTATGAATTCTCTGATCTTGACTCAAAAGAATAGTATATTATATACTAAATGGAAAAGAAGAGACTATATGTGAAGTTTGCATTCGTATTTCTACAAGACAAAATTTTCTCTTCAATAATTTTCATAGCTAATCATTTTTTTAAAATCTTCTCCCATATGCAGAGAACGCATTTTATATCGAACTAGAGAAAAAAGAAATTGCTCACATAATCTACGAGCAATCCAAACGACGAAAAAAATAATAAACTTTATTAATGTTAAATCTTTCTATTGTATAATGTGACTTTACATGTGTAGATCATGGGTATTCCATGTTTAGATTCATGCGGACCCTATTTTGATAAGAAATAGAATTTAATATTTCGAATTAATTATTTCTATTTAGTTACGACAATTGATGAAAATACATTCATTTGTGCGTGAGAATGTTGGAAAAATTCTTCAACAATCAAATAAATCTATTGGTTTGTTGAAATTTTTTTTAAAAATTTTTATTTTTTAATATTTTGCTAAATTTAGATCAAAAATTATCTTTTGAATTTAGTCATTTTAATCAATATTTATATTTTCTATTTGCTCCTACATTACTTTATCGTAATAATTATCCTCGTACATCAATTATTCAATGGAATATTGTTATGAAAATGTTTGGTCAATTTATAATTATTCTTTTTTTAGTTTATAATATAATAACAAATTTTTGGATGCCAATTTTTACACGTTTTTTTACAAATGATGACATAACATTTGAATTTATGATTTCGACTATATTTGATTTGATGTTACCAGGAGTACTTATTGTTATATTATGTAAAATATTTAATTAATTTTTCATGAAAATATAATTGATTGTTTTGTTTTGTTTTTTTATTAAGCTTTTTATGGATTTTTTCATTGTTGGTTAAATGGATTTGCTGAATTACTTCGATTTGCTGATCGAATGTTTTATGAAGTAAGAGAAAAAAGAAAAAATTTTCATAAATAATTATATACATATGTATAGGATTGGTGGAATTTAACTTCAGCTGCAACATTTTGGCGTTCATGGAATGTTGTTGTACATGATTGGTTATATGTTTATGTTTATCAAGATCTAAGAAAAGTTATTTCAATATTAAATTTTATTATTAAATAAATTCTTCTATTTGTTTTTTGTTTTTGTTTTTAGTTATCTAATGGTAATAGAAATTTATCAACAAGTTGTGTTGTTCTTCTTTCAGCTATATTTCATGAATATTTTATGATTGTTTCACTTGGATTTTTCTCACCAATATTAATTGCATGGTTTGGTTTATTTGGAGGTATATTTGAATATTTATTGTCTATATATATTTTTGTTTTTTGTTATTAGTGTTATTTCGTTTTGCTTTTCCGCGTGCAAAAGGAACACGATGGAATATTGTATTATTAACATTTGTACCTATTTGTGTCGCAATTATACCTTATTTTTATGTTCTAGAAGTTTCAGCTCGATATTTTCCTTCAAAGCGTGTAAGTTCGATACTATGTTTTATTTTTCTTTATAATGATGATAGAATATATATTTATTTAGAAAACATTCTGGAACATAATGTTTAATAATGATAAACCATCAAACTATGAACTGTGAAAAGAGAAAATTGTATAATATTAAAATCGTAGAATTTTCAAAGAAAATTAATCGCATTTTTTTTAATTTTTATCGAAATAAATATTTAATAGCAAATTTATCATATTTCTTTGTTACGATCATTATTACACTACTGGCCAGAAGGCCCTCGACGTAAGAAACTTCGAGTGAAGATCAATTGTTTTCTATGGTATTTTTACCAGAAGTGCAGCGTGAAAAACTGTGATCGTCTGTACCAATCCAAGGTCGAATATACTGAGTAGAAATGAAGTTAGAGATCAAATACTGCTTTCAGTCCGGTAAACACAATCTCGATATTTAAAGAAATTTTCAACCTAGCTCACTCTTGCTTTTGAAGTCTGCAACTTGTTACACCTCCGATATACATTTTTTAGAAGAAATCGGTAATATTCGGAAACATAGAAAGCAAAAAGTTCGAAATAATGGATGAGCCAGGTTGAGAAAACGATTGATCTTCACTTGAAGTTTCATACGTCCAGGAACTTCTGGCTAGTAGTGTACATATGATCTTCAGAAAATATTGAAACGCATTCGACAACTCCTTCAATCAAAATATCCGATGAGTAAATTTTCGGAAACAGATGGAACCAAGTGAATTCCGACAACTGAATCCTATAGAATCCGTCCGTCGAATTTCATCGGATTGAGGCAGATCCGAGAGAATTCGATGGCACACTTTTGACCTGGATTATTGCATATTATTAGTGTTGACGTCTCTCATAGATAATAAAGCAACATCGTTATGATCAGAAATATATGGTGACTGTCTGTACTTGCTTATGAAATGCATAAAATTCTTATGATACTAAAGTTCCTGGCATCTGATGTCTGTGAGGTATTCCATTTTCTTATTGATAGACGAAACTGTTGATTTCTCCCCCTTCGCCCAGCAACTATTTACTTTGATATCGAACATGTGAAAGAACAACTTCAATAATATTCTCATGTAATAATGTGTCATTAGGTTGAAATACAATTGAAGACGAAAAGCTATTTTTACAAGCGCCTAATGACATCATAATTCTTTTTGAAATATTTGCTCTTTTGATTTATGTTCTCTCATCCATCAGTTTCTCATCGACTCACAACATAAAAACATTCTAATGCAAAGTATTTTTCGTCAATGAATAAGACAACTTTTTTCAATCAATGAGATAAAAACAAAGTAAATTGATCGTGTATGAAAAAAATAATCATATTCACAGAATCAAAAATTGGTCGAAGAGAATTTTGTCTATTATTACAATAAAACATGTACATATAAAATAAACTTTTGTTTATAAATTCTGTATTGTTTTGCGTTGCACCTTCTGGTATATTTTTTTTTTAACAAAACGTATTAGATAATGATAAGATCATACACAATAAAGTAATCATTCATTATGATTCACTGATTCGTATCACTGTTTTAAAAGCTAACAATCGACAATGTTATAATAAAAAAGAAAATAATACTCAAATGAAACAGATGATAATAGGCGTTTTACATGAGAAAACCATCTTAAGAACGGCTGAACATATCGAGCTGTCCGCTGGTACTTAAGGGTTTCTCGACGTGCTCTTTCTTTTGTCTAGCGGACGCTTTTGTCCGAAATGCTCGGAAGTAGGTTTTCTGTAAAACCATGGTTTTGGAGCCAATGATCAAGGAAGTTTTTTGTTTTAACAGTCTATAATGATAGAGCAACCAATTCTCTACAAAATGAGATGTCGTTGAGCTCTCTATGACATTTTTTGGCTGAGTTACATAAATTTTAGTGAAGAGCAAAAGCCATTTTTTTCCGCTACTTCCTCCGGGAAAAAAACGAAAAAATGGCTTTTGCTCTTCACTAAAATTAATGTAACTCGACCAAAAAACGTCGTAGAGAGCTCAGAGACATCTCATTTTGTAGAGAATTGGTTGCTCTATCATTATAGACTGTTAAAACAAAAAAATTTCGTGAACATTGGTTCCAAAATCACGGTTTTCTAGAAAACCTACTTCCAAGCATTTCGGACAAAAGTGTCCACTAGACAAAAGAAAGAGCATGTCGAGAAACCCTTAAGTACCAGCGGACAGCTCGACACGTTCAGCCGTTCTTAAGATAGCCTATACCAACTTTCTCATGTAACACGCCTATTGTATAGAGAAATACGCCATAAAGAATAAGTGTGACGTGTAAAAAGAAAACATATAATACGGTACGACATAAAATAGTCCATGGATGAAAGCATGGAAAGAACGAGGGTATATTTGTTGCTCGCTCATGCATTGCACATTTTCAATACATTTTATCGTCGGTATCAACTAACGTAACGTTTTTTGTTTTTCGTTTTTGATATATTTCTTTTTTAAATGTCTCTTCCTACTATTGGTAAACCAGCACCAGATTTTAAAGAAAAAGCAGTACTTGATAATAAAGTATTTAATATATCATTAAGTGATTATGATAAAAAGTATCTTGTTTTACTCTTTTTTCCAATGGACTTGTAAGTAGATTATTTTTCATAATAAACAATAAATATGTAATCATCTTTTTGTTTTTGAATATCTAGTACTTTTGTTTGTCCAACAGGTTTGTTTGAAATAAATGTAAAAACAAAAAGAACTTTTTTGTAAAATTATTTTCTTTAATAGAATTAATTGCATTCAGTGATCATTTGAATGATTTTCAGAAAATCAATACCCATGTTATTGGTTGTGCAACTGAAAGTCATTATAGTCATTTAAAATGGTTTCTATATTCATTTCGACTTTCAAATTTTATTTTATTGTATTATTTTTTTAATTTTTTGATTTTAATAGGTTGAATATGACACATAAAGAAGGTGGTATTCGTGGTCTTCGTATTCCATTGATTGCTGATAAATCAATGACAATTGCTAAAAAATATGGTGTTCTTGATGAAAAACTTGGAATTTCCCATCGGTTTGTTTTAAATATTTATATTTTAATCATTAATTATTATTTTATTATTATTGGTAGAGCATTGTTTATTATCGATGATAATGGTATCCTTCGTCAAGCTACTGTTAATGATTATCAAGTTGGTCGAAGTGTATCTGAAACTTGTCGATTGATTAAAGCTATTCAATATGCAAGTAGATTACGTGAAAGTACATCAAAACAAAATTTTCTTGAAGGTGAGAAAAAAGGAAAATTATATATAATGGTATATCGAAGTTTTTTTTTTTTCGATAGTGCCGGCATCAAGTATCCAGAGATTGCGAACGTTGAATAGTTTAGGAAGGAATGTTCTTCATGAACTCACTGAATAATAATAATAATAATAATAATATTACAACAAAAACTTTATAAAAAGAAGAACATCATTACTTTGTTGTTGTTGTTGATTGATACAATATACATTTCATGGCATCTCAATATTTGTATAGACTTATATTAATACGTGACTTATGATAAACCATGTAGATATTTTATGTTTACTAATGTTTTATCTGATATTAAACTAGCAAATATTGTTTGCTTTACTAATTCGAATATCTCTGAAAAAATTAGTCAAATGATTCAAATCAATAAATATTTTTGACCAAATTGAAATTCATTTTTCTCCTATGTTCTATTAATGATTTACATCTGATTTTTTTTACACGAAATATATACACACACTATAAAGCTACAAAATTAAAGTATCGAAAATGATTGTTTATCTTTAACTTTTCTGGATTTAGTCCGAAAGCCTTTTCTTATCATTCAGACAACATAAATGTCAACTTGTTTCAATTCTTTGATATATTCTTTTTCTTTTTTTGCAAAATTTAACTTTAGCACAAAATCAAATTTGTGCCATAGTAAGGTAAGTTAGGAAATATTTCACAAAGCTTCGATTCATAAAAAAATTATTATTGAATGTTTCTTAATAAAATGCATGACCGAGATTGAGAGACAGGAAAACAGTTATATTTATTAAAAAAATAGAAACAAATTGACATTAATATTGTCCGAACTATAAAAAAAGACTTTCGAAAAAAATTAAGAAAAATTTCAAAAAATAAACAATCATTTTCGATACTTTGATTTTGCAGGTCCTTAGTGTGTGTGTATATTTCATGTAACAAAAAAATCAGATGTAAAGCATTAGTTTAGTACAGGAAAAATATGAATTTCAATTTTATCAAAATATTTTTCGAACACTCGTCAGATGATAAAATTTAAATATTTCGAAAATCGAATAGTACTGTCTTTGTTCTATCTATGAGCCACATTAGTTAAGGTGAAATTAAATGGTTAACAAGTCATAAAATTTTTCAAATATGAAATTCTAAAGAATAGTATTATGACTTTGAAATTGACATTCGAAATCTAACGTATTCTAATAAATATACATGAGTGTGACAGATAAACTTTTAGATTTTTTTTTGTAGTAGCATATTCTATAAAAAACGAATAGTTTCTACGAATTTCATTCTAATTATAACAGATTGATTTTATTGATTGACAGAATACATTTTTAAATATTGTATTTTGTAAAATACGATCTAATATAAGTGTTGAAGTATAGAGGAAGAAACTCCGCCTCCTACCAACAAATGTGACAGATATCATGTAGGTACTAATACTGACGGTGACAGACACAACCGCAAGGTTAAAACCCACTGCAACATATTGTAATTAATATCTTTCATTACTAATATGCATTACCAGTAGGAAAGAATTCATAAACCACAATATAGATTGATTAATCTCTTCTTTTACAATATAAGCAGTTTCATCGTGTTTCACATTTTAATCTTGTAGGAATTGTACTAACAGCTTTTCAAGAAATATCAATTATTAGTTCATATTTAATATTATCTATTAGACAAAATTTCTCTTCTAATCTTCTTCTAAGAAGAACATAATATATATTTATTTATTTGTTTATTTCATATTTTTTTTCTTCTCTCCATGAACGAACAGAGGAATGTAAGAAAAAAAAAAGAAAAACACCTAACCTATACAAGTTCAAATCAAGAAAAGTCACAATAAAAATTTTTTATCAATAAGTTATTTTCTTGATATAAATTATCATTAAAGAAAAATATTTATCTTAATGATTTATTATCGTCAACATATGTAGATGCTCGTTCATTTGAATTACATCCAGTACTTTTTGATCGTATATGATGATTATTAATATCATTACGTGTTAGTAATGATGTATTATTTAATATAATTGATGTTTGTTCACCAGCAAATGATGTTTGATTAATAGTAACATCATTTGCATCGGTTGATAAATCTTCATTATCATTTTCATTTTTTGCAATAAGTGTATCACATGTTGGTCTGTCATTATCAATTATACCTTTTGATGAACGTTTTTGAAGAAGTAAAGATGATCTTCTATCATCTATATTATCATCAGATGTTAAATTTATTTGAATAATTGGTAATGTTTCATTTTGATAATTTATTGGTTTAATAGATAATCGTTGTTGTGGTTCATTTACTTGTTCTAATGTTTTATTATTATTATTAAATAAACAAGGACAAATAAATACAAGAAATTTTCTCCAATATATTTGACGTGTACTTAAAACTTGTGGTGAAGAACATAATGTTGTTTTACGAGATTTTTCACTACGATTTTGATTTGATGAACGTCGACGACGATTTAATGATATACGAAATACAGATAAACGTGTTGATAATGTATCACCAGCTGAACTACGTCGTAGAGCATCATTACTTAATAAAGTACGGTGAAATTGTTGAACAACTTCCGAACGAATTTCCGTATTAAAATAAAAATATATAAGTGATGTGAAAAAACCCTTAAAGAAATTTGTTTTTATAAACAAAAAAAAAATAAACAATCATGATAATTAAATATACTTCATTATTACCTGTAGATCACCAAAAATAGCTTTAAATATAACAGCAATATAATACCATATTGTATGACCTTGATTTTTATGGTAAAAAACCCACATAACAAATAATGAATGAAGACCAAATAATGGAATTAATATAAGTATTGATTTAATAAGATGTCTAAAATAACAAAATAAGAATTCGTTTCAATATTCATAAGATTACAATAGAAAATACAATCGTATTGCTTTTTTAATAGTGAATACACATCTACATAGATTTAGAGATGTTCAAATTTCTTATTTTATACATCAATAATGGATTCAAGCCGTGTTATTATTTGATTTAAAAGATTCCGATATTGAGTGACGTTTTGATGACTCGGCTTAATTCAGAATGATACTATTAAAAGTATATTTCTTTTACAGAAAAAAGGATTTCTGAACGATGAAACTCCAATTATTACAGTCATTTATTGGAATATTGTAAAGAGTTTATTTTCATAGTGATCACAAGCTGAATAAAGTCAGATAATTTTAATACTTAAAATAAAAAATAGCATGAGAGATAAATCAAGTTATTTATTGCATCAAAAGAAAAAGAAATGTTCGTGGATACGTTAACTTCTTGAAGGTTATCGCTTATTAACATGAACTCTCATGAGTAAAATGCTCGTTGATCAATTTCAAAGAGTCAGATCGATTACTATTTTTAGTTACACTGTTAATTTTAGTATACAGTAAACATTCATGTCACTTAATGCAGTGGTTAGTACACTTGATCCTATATATAGGGATGAGAAATATCAATGAAAAGAATAAATACTCTATTTTTATTTATTGACTGAATGACATTTCGAAAATATTCGCATAACAACAATTTCTAATTGTTATCAATTGCGAGGTGCATAACCAGTGTACAAAAATTTTGACGAAAAATCAAAATAAAAACGATTATTTTTTTTTCTTTTTTGAATAAAAACATATTCAAATGGCGCTATTTAATTCTGATATTTTTTAGCTCTAAAGATAGGTTTCAATTGATTTTAATCTAATTTGATTGATTAAAACTGTTTTTTTTTAAATCAATTAAGAAAGATTAAAATCAAATGAAATCTATCTTTAAAGCTAACAAAAAAAGAAATAAAGTTCGTACCGGACAATCCACTTTGAAATCTGCTATAAAGAATTCTTTCGAATTGTTTTATGCTCTTCCTTCCCTTCCAAAAAAAATGAATTGAAGGAATAATTATCTATAGTAATCTGGAAAAAACATTTTTGTAACATTCCATTGATTTTATCTAATACTCATATTTTCAATAATGAAAAAAAAAACTCTCTACTAACCGATTTCCAGTTCGATGTGTTGAAACATAATTTGATCGATATTTTGAATAAAGTAATCGAACAAGAAAAAGAAATATACCAAAATTAATAATTAAATAAAAGGCATATGGAACATAAAAGAAATAATAAAAATATGTTGTATGATCAGCTTCTAACCAACATGTTGATCGTTGTTTTAATTTATCTGTTACTATATGTGATGCAATCCACATTGTTAACCAAACTAATGGACTTAACCAACCCCATAGAACAAATAATGTACAACCACGATCACGAAATAAATGAGTTGTTAATGCTGTAAATAAAAACATAGCTTCACAAAATATAAATGTTTGTGCGACAGCATCTGTATACCAAAATAATGACGATAATATACGACAACCAATAACCTTAACAAAAAAAAAAAAAAAGATATTTTTTTTTAAATATTGAAATCAAATTTTTAATATATATATACATGAAATAAATTTGATGATTTTGAAAGAATTTCTATATTTCCACATTTATCCCGTGTATATGTTATCATTGTATACGTATAACCACCAATAATTATATGTATAAATATAAGTTTAACAATAGAACGAAGAATAAAAGCAAGAAATAGATGCATATGAAGCAGGTTTCGGGGTAAATGCAATCGTCTAAATTTTAGAATGTATCGGCATATACGGGGTATATTAGAAGGAATAACAGAAAAATGAGATATGGGATATCTATGTGGTGAATATACAGGTCGATTTACATCAGAAGGTTTCAGACCGAAAAGTTTTACAAAAAAGTAACAAACATACTTGACATGTAGCATGCATAAAATAGCAATTGTTAAAGATATAAGAGATAAACTTAAACTCATCGTTTCAATCATAATACTGATTGAATTAAACTAAATCAAAAAATCAAAATCAAAATTGAGAAAAAAAAATGAATATAGATTCATTAAAAATTCTTTTTACTTTTACTGGTCGTCTATCATCAATACATGTTTTACATTGAAGGTCAGGTGAAACAGTCATTGCCCAAGTTCCATTATTTTGACAAAAACGTTGTAATGTACCTATTTTATTCATATAATGTTAAAGACAATAAAAGAAAAAAAGCAAAGAAAACTAACAATT